ACTCCTCAGAAATAGCGAAGTGCACATACTGGCATGTGTCCCAGAAGATGCTCTATGGGTGTGGAAGCTGCTGAGCTGAAGCCTTTTTTGTTTTTAAATGAACGTACACACATTTTAATTTGTTCTTAACGATATATTTATATTTTAAAAACAGCGTACATATACATATGAGTAAAGAGCATGGTTCTTTACTCACTGACCTAGTCCACACTGGTAAGCACTTGAGAACTATTTACTGTGCTGACAGTATGAAGCCTATTTTCTAAGTGAGGGCTGCAGGGGTCTCCAAAGGCTGGTGCCTAGGTGGGCCCAGCCCCTGATTGCAGTTAAGGCCTGGAGTCACATGTGCATGCCTGTCTGGGAGTTGGTGGTACCTGTGTCTGTGCTCCCACATGCGTTCGTGGGCTTACACATCTGTTTCATGCATGTGACAGTAGCTTTACTGTTAAGTTCTCCAGGTCCCTCATTTACAAAGGCCCCTTTCAAGGCTCTGTCTTTAATTCGTATTCATGGTTTTAGTTTTCTGTTTTTGAAAAACAATTCCCCTTCCCATTGAATAAACATCAGGCCCAATAGAACCTTAATCTGCTTCTGACATACTTATATCATACTGTCACGTGTTTATCAAGTCTATATGTCTCCCTCCCTTTGTCTCTCTTTCCTTCCTTTCCTTCTTTAATATTTGTGTTTCAAGAACTTCCCCTTCTGGGAAAGAGGGACAACAATGAGAGAGACACCATTCCAGAGAGGTTCAGGGATCTGCAGAAGCATACTATGGGGCGTCTGACTTCCATCTAGGGACAATCAGAAGAATGAAAACTGAAAAAAATTAAAGAATTGGCAGGGGCAACCAGACTTGGGCTGAGGTGTGGTGGCAAGCACTGTGGGTATCTTACTGTGAGCATCTGTGATATGTGTCTGTAACTGTCTGTGCATTTATATATGTGTTTGGATGTGATGAGGTTGGTGTGTGCCTGTGGTTGTGGAGTATTTGTGTCTCTCTCTGTGGGTGCAGCTGAGGGAGGACCCAAGTGCATGTGTGCTGTTTGTTGTTGGCTTCACATGCCTTCAAGTAAGAGGCCAGGCAGCACTGTGGGCTAATGAGTTCCCACAGCTGTGGAATTCCCTCAGGGCCAGTCTTTCCTGGTAGAGCAAACTACTGCTAGGAATCCAGTAATGAGAGTGATTATTTCATCCTGCCCAGGGCATACAAACATTCACACTGGTTTCAAGAGGCCCCACCAACCTCTTCTGACTAAGGCTGAGGCAGGGGGCTCTAACAGATGCAATGATTTCTCATACCTGCTCACAGGTAGGACTAGCTCTTTGATTTGGCATGTGGTATGGATGATAGGCAGAGGTGACCAAGCCCGAATATCAGATTTCCACAGTGATAGGCCCTATGAGCACTATGGGTCAATAAGATGTTTGTAGACAGTAGTAGGGACAGGGTCAGTTTTCAAACCCAACTCACTTCTTTTATGAGAGTTGGCTCAGAAAGGGCTGGAGAAATCTCCAAGATCACCTAAAACACCAGTGTGTATTCTCTACTTACCCTCCACCCCATGGATTTACCTGCCACAGTTTTCTACCCTGCTCTGTGTCCCCTAATAAAGCTGACCTCTGTGGACACCGTCACCTGGGCTTCCTTGATGTTGGCTCCCAGTAGGCTTCAGCCAATGGGGGGCACCAATGGGCATCAGAGGGCGGGAAGAGAGAAAAGTTGGAATCTTTTTCCCATCTACCTCCAGTTTTGGAAGTGGCCGTGGTCCTCTCTAGCCACTGCTCTTCTCAGGGGACCCGACCCATAGTCGTAGCTCTTCCTGGTTTCAGGAAACCACTCCCCTCCTCCTCCCTTCAGGTTTAGTGGGTAAAGTCTCCCCACTATTGCCAGCCCTGGTACTGCACCATACCCTGTTGATTTCCTTAACTCCTACACACACATTAGGTAAATTGCCCTTTCATTAAACTCTTTTCAATAAACCCTATTGAGTCTTGTCCCTCCTCCTGGGATCCTGGTACATACAGTTTCCCACTGTGGTAGAAATAAAATATACACTCTTTTTTTCTGCTCCTTAATTACAAGCTCCTTCTGCCCTCAAGACTTTTACATTTAAAATTTCCTCTGCTTGTTTAAAAATCACCTCTTCATCAATAAAACAAACAAATAACAAAAGACATATTTTACATATTTAGCAGTGCTTGGTACTCATTATGGGTTTAACAAATACTAGTTAATATTGTTGTTATTGTTACTGTTGTGTTAAATATATATAAAACTGCCTACGGCCAAGCCACCCTGAACGTGCCTGATCTTGTCTGATCTCGGAAGCTAAGCTGGGTTGGGCCTGGTTAGTACTTGGGTAGGAGACCACCTAGGAAGACCAGGTGCTATAGGCATTAAAAAATATATATAATATATATCTATACATATACCTCATAATTTAAGTATGAAGATAAACAATAATCAACTTTATAATAAATAACACCTTGATTTCTATAGCGTGATAGCTTCTAAGTTTCATCGAAAATTATATTGGCATTATTTATTAACTTTAATATATATATATAAAACTGCTAGGTACTGAAGTGGAAATAAATGTTTACTTGAACTTAAAGAGCATGGTTTTAATACTGTGTCAATTTAATATTAACAAATATTGAAATATTGGATGTGCCAATTATTCATCTTTGCTGCATTTCTACAGTTAATGTCCTTTGTATTCCTGTATTTTTAAAAAACAAAGTGTTAGTTTGAGGGGTTTCTTATTCATTTTAGTTTTAAATGTATTCCGAGATTGCATGAAAAGGGGGAAATAATAAGTATACAACGTTCAATAAGTCAGTGTCTTGTTTTATCACAATGACATTTTAAAATAAGATATACATGGTTAAAAAGTGAAAAACAATCATCTTTTCAAAGGGGACTTTCTAACCAGTCTAAATTAAGGAGTATCATCATTCTCTATCGCCATCCACCTTCTGCCTTTCACAGTACTTATGACATTTTATAATTAGGATTGTTTCCTAGTTTCCTAGTTTCAAGTCTCTTCCAGCATACTGTGAGCTTGACAAAGGCTTTTGGATCCTGCCTGCTGGTTTCACTGAGTATGTCCCAGGAGTATCTTATTGAGTAGACATGCTAGGATTCTGTAACAAAGAGGCCCCCAAACATGCAGCATGAATAATAGTTTATTTTTCCCACAGGTGATAGTGTGGGTAGGTGATCCAGGCTGACATGGTGGTTTAAAGGTGTTTCCAAGATCCTGCAGTTCCCCAGAACAACTTCCCCCTCAGCTACACCAGACCAAACTTTAAAAACCCTCTTACTCAGAGCAATGCCACTTCCTTTGGTCTCAGCTCCTGGATCCAGCCTGCCCCAGATTCTTATTCTCCCAACAAGAGGCTTGTCTATGTGGCTTCCCAAACCACAGAGCAAATTCCCTGAAATGAAGTTGGCCTCTCACAATGACACAAGGCCATTGTATACACTTTTTTCTTATGGTTGTTATTAAATGTTACTTTTTTATCTCTGTGAAAATAGTTTACATCTGTCAACATCCCTGATCTTTGAGCAAATTACTTCATTCTGTGCCTCAGTTTCCTCATCTGTAAAATGGCAATGATCATAGTTTGCTTCCTAGGGGTCCTATAAGGATTAAATGAGCATAAAGCAAAAAAAGAAAATGTGCATAAAGCTTGCAGAATTGAACCTAACATATGCTATGTCCTCTTTAAATAATCAGCATTACTATGATTTTCTCAACTTTCCCATGAGGTAGATGGGCGGTATCACATTTTCAGATGCAGAAATGAAGGACCAGAGAGCTGAAGCAAGTTACCCAAGGCCACTACACTGGTAGGTGGCTGAGTCTGGGTTAAAAACACACCTGTACCTCAGTTACCTCATGATAAAATTGGGATGACGATGGCACCCACTCATGGGATTGGATTGTAAGAATCCAAAGCCATCATGCAATCAATTGACAGGCACATGAAGGGCACTGCCTGTGCCCTTCCTCTTCATGGTGGCCCACGCTGTTATACTGATGTCTTCACGGAGCCATCAGGAATCCCAGCTACCCCTCTCCTGGTGGCCCTGGAGTCAGCTGCTTCTGTTTGGTTAGCAGGGACAGCTGGGCCCACAGAGAGGTCCATTGTCTCTGTCCTCTGGAGCTCTGTTGTTGGGGCCTCTTCCCAGGGTCCAGCTCCAAGACACCATCAGCTGTCCTTGGAGGTAGTCTTGGCTTCTCAGGGTGAGGGAGAGGAGGGGGTGAGTGTGCACAGATATCCGACTGTACCCTGAAGATTGGATCACCAGCCCAGTTCTATTGATGAGAAAACTGACTCAAAGAATTTAAATGGCTTGTGTGAGGAGTGCTTGTCTCAAGTCAGAGCCACCAAAGTTGGGGTTAGAGGCTTCACTCCCTGAGGGAGGGGGAGCATGTGGCCTCAAGTCAGAGAGGTCATGGATCCCATTAGATCAGAGATATCAGGGCCAGAGAACACGGCTCCCAACCTGCAAATTTTACTCGTGGAAACAGAGAGCCCAGAGCGCAGACGTTTGCTTAAGGTCATACTGCAACTTCCCTCCGAGTCCGCCGGGAAGCTGGGGTTATCGAACTCCCAGGTCTCCTAGCGGTCCAAGACCGCAGAAATGCTGGACTGTCGGGGACGTGGCACAGAATGGTCCCTCCCCCGGGGCGGAGCGATTCCGCACGTCCCAACTCTGTGCCTCGCCGTAGTGAAAACTTCTGCGGCTCTCTCCCTCTATGGGCGTGGCTTTCCGAGCCAGGCGCGAGTCCACTGGGTATTTCTCTAAGGAAGGCGGGACTTCGCGCTTGATGGGCGTTGAGAACGTGGCCTCCTTCCTGTGCGAACCCGTATCGTGGGACTACAACCCTCTGTGACGCAGGCGCGGGTACCGAGGCGGACGAGGCGGAGTCCTGGTCCCGCCCCCAGCGGAGACGACCGGGGGCGTGTCCTGGGCGGGGCCGTGCCCCGTCCCGCCCGGTTGTGGAGCGGTAGCCAGCGCAGGGAGTGCCCGGCCCCGGGATGTGAGTGTGGCGCGGGTTGGGGACGCCGGGCCAAGCCTCCAGGGTTTCCAGGGGTCCCCGTGGGTGGAAGTAGAAGGACGCGGGCGGCCGGGTGGTCCCACGACGTGCGGGCCCACGTATGGCGGGCGAGGGGGCGTTCTGGCTGGCTGTGCCTAGGCTGTCCCCGCGCGCCGCGCCAGCCCCGCGCCATTTCTCTGCGGCCCAAGGGACGTGCGCCTGCCTCGGGACCCCGACCAGGGCGGTGGCCCGCGACAGGCGCGCGTCTGACGTCTGTCCTCCGGCCCCACCACTGAAAGCCCCCCGCAGTAGCTGCATCTGGAGCCCTTGTTTCTGGTCCCTGTGTAGCCGCTGAGGAGGTGTGATGGGGTCGGGCGGGGAGTAAGCTGGGCGGCGGGCCGTAGTTGACCCCACTCCTGTCTCCGCGTTGGGCCACAGCCTGCACTAGCCCCTACCTGCTGTTTCTGGGACCCTAACTCTCAAGGACAGCGCTTTCTGGGCCCAGCTACTTAGATATATTTTCTGAATCCTCGCAACACTCACACATTTTATAATTGAGGAAACTGAGGCCTAGGGCTACACAGCTGTTCGCTGTAATTGTTATAATGTGGAAGTGAGGTGCTGAGGCCTTGCAGCCAGCACACCTGGGTGTACATCCCGGCTACACAGACCCGCTGTGTGTCCTTGGGCACACCTGGTCTCTCCAAGCCTTTGATGAGATAGATGGTGGTGCCTATCTCCCAAGGCTACTATGAAGATTGGGCTGAATAGTGCAGGGAAA